CGTTGATGGGATAAATGGAATAGGGGCAGGGATAAAGGAACTGGGAACTGCATTCTGCAGAGTTTGTGTGTGGTCGTAAGAGATGGGCTGAGGCTCTGCGATGTATTGGATTGTCTTATAAACCTTCACGACGTCTAAGTAAGAGAACCCAGAGTTCAAAAGTTCAAGTTCTCTTGTTAAATATTTCAGGATGGATTCTTCAGTCTCCAAAAGTTGCTTTGTGGGATGGGGATGTGGTTTGATTGTTGTGGGGCATGTTTGTGGCTGCGCACCAGTAGTTGGTTGCATCTAGGTTTCTTGTTCTGAGTTGTTTTCTTTTTTTAGAACCAAATTTTTACTAAAAAAAGAATTATTAAAGGTTTGAAAATAAATGCTACTATAGTATTTATGTTGACTGATAATGTATATCGTTATAAGATTCCTTTGTGAAACACAAGAATGGGCGTGAGAATCTGCAGCAGCACAAAGAATAGACTTAAAGAATCTATTATAATTAACACAAATCTCGTTTTGTTTCTATTTTAGGAATTACCAGTTGTATCATTTCCGCTTCAAATAAATTCGATTGAGTTTGTTTTTTTTAATTCAAATTTATTAGTTGTTTGACTTTGGTATTTCGTTTATTTTTTTAAATAAAAAATAAAAAACTTAATTTTAAAAAATTGTTTTTTTTAAATTTTGATTGTATTTTTATCAATTGTTATTCTTTTTAATTAAAATTTATTATTCAAAAGTTTTTTTTAATAACGAAATAATAATATTTTATATAATGAAACAATAAGGTTATTGTTTCATAAATTTTTTTTAATACTTTATTTTATTAAAAATACAATATTAGTTATAATTAAATAATAAATAAATAAATATACCCATTTTTCTATTATATATAAGTGGATAATTAAAAAAAACATAGATTCTAACAAAAATTAATAATTAATTAGTTCTACATTATTTATTAATGTAGAACTAATTAAAAATAATTATAACACATAGTAAAATATTAAACATTTTTAATAAAAAAAACACCAATGATTAAAAAAAAACAAAAAAAAATAATGGCAAAAAAACAGTTTTTAGGTATGGTCTGGTTTCCCAAAAGTGATTTTTTTATTTTTAAAATAAAGTTAAATTAATTTAGTAAATTTACATTTATCTAATAAAACAATTATAAAAGCATTTTTGAGATAAAAAGTATCAGAATCTCTAAAAAGAAGAGCAAAACTCGAAAAGAAGATTGGATGTCGACAGCAAACACACCGCAAAGCAACCCAACCGATCAAAGCAACGCAGACCGAAAGACGGTGCACATTTTCCGCCTTTCTCTTCACACAAAAGACGAAGCCTTACAAAAAATATTTGAGACCGTCGGCGCGGTCACAAAGTGCATCATTATCCGCGAGCCATCAACGCAACGTTCATTACGTTTTGGGTTTGTCACCTACAACACAACGGAAGAGGCAAAAAAGGCTGTCGATGAGCTCAACGGCAAGGAGGTGGATGGATTTAGGATTGCCGTCGACTTCGCACGGCGGGAGGAGGCCCGTGATAAAACACCAGGGAGATACCTCGGGGCTTACTTCAATCGCAACCAAAAACCAGACTTATCTGCCGATTCATTCCGCCAACGCAATCTCACCCAGAAATTTTCATCAAATTATGACGATTACTCGGAACGACGGGACAGAAGAGAACCTAAATTATGGGGAGAGAGATATGAAAAATATGACGAACACAGAGAGTGGGAGGAAAGACTCACTCGCGACAGGGTAAGAAGGGACAAAGACGACAGCCCTCGCTCCGAGAGGTTCAGGGACAGATATGAGAGTGATGAATGTTACTCACCAAGAGAACGTCGCAACTCATATTCGCCTCGAGATTTTTCTCCAAAATAATTGTTTATGTTTTTGTGTTTAGCTTCTTTATATTTTACTCTATTACACACATTATACTACATTTAACTATAAAACATATTATACATAATAATTAATAAAAAACAATTATATTTTATAATTTTGATATGACATAACAAATATGTGAGGGTAGATTTGAAAGAAATTGATTATAGTTCAAACATATTAAATAATAAAAAATGTTATTATTAAACTAAAAAAATCACACCAATACACATGGACCAAGAAATCGAAAGACATTTCGACGTCGAAGTTGAAGAAATCGAAGATATCCATTATGTCACTGATGTAAAAGCAAGAAACTTTGCTTATGGCTCGTTCACAATTGGAATGAAGCCAATCCGGATTTATCTCGAAAATGCAGAGGATTTCGAGATGTTTGATGATGAAAAGAAAATATAAATCGTTGGTGGAAAAAAGTTCCCCTCGATTCGATAAACTATATTTTATTATAAAGAACTATTAATTATTAGTTTCTATAACTTATTAATATTAAATTATTATTTAATAATAATTACTTATTAATATTAATATTAAGTTTAATAATATTAACATTGATAAAACTATCGAGTTGAACAAGAATGTTTTAAAATTCCAAATATGGTATTAAAAAAAATATTATATTTTTTTATATAATTAAACTTCAAAACAAATTAAAAAAATAATAATTGAGGTTTAAAGAAATAATAAGTATTAAAATGAAGTATTATAAATTAAAAAGTTATTAATAGTCTTGTGAACTATAGTTTATTATTTTTTAATTAATTAATTAATATAAATTAATATACATATCTAGTTTATAATAGTTTAATTTGTCATGAGTTTTATTTGTGAAGTTTTCTAAACAAAGAATCAACAATCGTACATAAGTTACATTCTTAAAACTTTTGTTTGAGAACGCCCAATCCAAAAAATACTTTGGTGTAACTTGGTAAAACGATAGGGCTACTGATGGTGATAGTATTTTCTACTGATTCAGTTTTCGCCATCAATTTTCGGGTTGGTGGTATAAAATTAGAAGTGTAATGAATTTTATAGAATCCAAGTGTTGCGCTTGCATATAAATTGCATATCAATGGTTTAGAATTTTCCACCAAAGAATCCGATACCCATACAGGTATACCACTTCTCAATATTTGAAAGATGGTAACTCGGCGTGTTCTGTTGTTATGTTTTTTGCACTCAGCCCATCTGATCACTAGATATTCTCGGGCATCTTCCTTCAATCGCAAATTTATACCTTTTCTACTGAAAACATCTTGGATTGTCGCTCGAACAATCACTGAGCGCTTTACGCTTCGTCCGCTGGTACTCCATAGGACGGTCTGATTGGTAAAGAGCTCCATAGTGTTTTTTCTTTAGTCTTACAAAAAAAATTACTAAATACAAAAAATTATTTTTAGTAATTTTTAATTATTAATTTATTATATTTTTATTATTGTTTGTTGTTCTCAAAAAAGAACAACTTCCTTTGAGTTTAAAAAACCCTATGTTTTTTTTGTCTTTTTGTGTTTTGGTGTTAATTTTATTAATCATGTACTATTTTTATTAATTTATTTAACTAATATTATTGTTTTATTATCGTTATTAATTGTTTGTGGAATAATTTGCTTCGTCGTATTCAATACAAAAATAATGAATCAGTTCTATTTTTATTTTTAAACAATTAAAAAACACTAGTTATTTTTATTATAATTTATTGTTAATAAAAATAGAACAATCTCAACCCATTCGAAAGAATTCGTTTTATTAAACAAATAAAAATTAATTTTATTTAATTTTATTTATTAATAGTACAAAAATCCAGCTAGTTTTTTTGAATTGGAAAAAAAAAATTTTATTGGATTTACGACCCAATAAATACTAAATGATGAGGGATTTATTGAGAGATGTTGGATTTGAGAAGTCGTATTGTATTTACGACACGGAACGAGATTCTTTTGATGAGAAAACTTTTTTGTCAAAAGTCAAAACTACTCAAAACCTTTTTATGATTGCAACTGATTGGAATGAACATCAGGTATGTGTCTACAAAGAAAAAATTGAGATAAAACAATATCCCGGCCTGTCATGGGTCAGGATGTCGGGAACAAAAGTTTACGTTTTAAACAAAACGAAAATCAAAGAAGTTCGATTGAATTCGGAGTTCATTCCCGTTGTGTTCAAAGAAACCGACTTTCTCTTAAACTCGTTTTGGGTACTCTCCACTCATTCCGTCAACAACGAGATTCTCCTCCGACCAAACTACAACCTCTTTGACGAATCTCCTTTCTCTCCCTTCTTCTTTTCCAAAGTGGTTATATTCAAACTGTATTAATATCTATTCCATTTATAAATATATTATAATAAAAATATTATAATTATCTGGTTTCAAAGAGTAATAAAAAAATAGTAAAAATATAGTTTAAAGTATCCAAAGAATGGTTTTTCAAACAACACGTAAAATCCAATGCGTTATTTGTAGAAAGAATATTAGTATAATAAATAAACTATACAATACGGTAAAAGAAGAAAGACCTCCCGGCACCAATACAAAGACGAAGTTTGGGAGGTATATGTGAACGCAAACGAGAAGTGAAAGGAAGAAGCGAGTTAATGGGCCATTTTGAAGAGTTCTAAACAATCGAAAGGGACTTCCTTTGGATAGGACGTATAACCCCTCTCGCAACTGCCGCGGACCGTTGCAACGCGCTTTTCATTGTCGATACCAACAACACGGACGATATCTCCTTCCTCAAGTCCGCTCACGTCTTTTGTCAGCATGACACATTGGTCCACACGAAATTGCTCCATCACAATTCATTTTTGAGTTTCAAAGTGTTCAATACCCAGGTCTATTTTTATTGGTACTTCATATCTGGCAATTCTTTGTTAATTTGAATGTATATCTTTTTGGGTACCGGTATATAGTATTTGTATGTTTTTCTCTGAATAACACAACAAATTACAACAGTGTAACACACAGGTTATATTAAATTATAATTAATAAATGTACCATAGAATATAGCTTATTTTAATACTTTTTTGGTTTATTTTTTGGTCTCAAAAAAATGAGAGAAATAGTTACAGATATGGTATATTTATAAGTTAAATATACTATAAACATTGCTATTTGTTATTAATATACAAACCATATTCTGACATATTCATTTTAATACAAACTCAATAGATTATTTTTATTATTGTAATATAGTTTAAAAATGTATATAACTAGTTGAACGAAATCACACATAATCAGTCAATAGAAATACACAAAGACATAAAGTCACTTTTTGTTTCTCTCGATACATGCTCGAATGAGTTTTTGTTTGTTTTTGTATTCCTCTGTGTTTTTTTCCTCAGATGATTCGTCTGAAGAATCTGATGAATCGTCTGTATATTCGCTCAAGTTTGTTGTCGTTCCGTCATCTGAATCACCTCTTTTTCTATCTTCCCAAATCTCATCTTTAGTTATCTCTTTGTATTGTGAATTATCATCTGTGATCTCAAATTTCTCAAGCTTCATTTCCTCCATCATAATCCAACTCATCATTATAAAACCACAATTGACTGCTTTAATACCATTATAAGGCTTTGCATCAATTATAAGATCTGTTTTATTTTCTCCATCGACTCGAACTAAACTCTGCATGACCGCACCCATCATTTCACAATTTCGTTTAATGGCATTCCAAATGAATTCAGTCATTTTGTTCATTTTCGTTTCGCCACCTTTCGGTTTTGAGAAGTAGATTTTTTTCCCTTTCAGAATATGTTCTCGCATCTCTGAAAGTATTACCCTGACGTTGCTCTTTCCGCCAAAAAATTCGGTGTGGACGTATTTCAAAATCTCCGAGATTCTTTCAAGTTCGTTATCTTTGACGTTTTCGCTGTTGGGCAGAACGAATTCTTGGATCTGTAAAACATTGTGATTGTCCCAAACGTCAATCCTGTCGTCAACGACAATCTGCACCTCTTCGCTCCCCATTCCCGGAACTGTGCGTTTTACTGCCCTTCTTTCCGTATCCTCATTTCTCTCAATCAGCCCATCATTTTGAAAATCTCCATCATCTTTCAAAATCTCTGAAATGCAATCTTCGCTGCACACAATCTTCCCATTGATAAAAGGTCCCCCTGGAAGTTTATTGAGAGCTTCAACTATAGCCATCGCATAATCTTTTTGTCCAAGAGTGACAACATGAATCTCATACAAAGTGATGAGTTTAGTCATAAATGCTACAATCCCGTCACGGAAATACACAAAGACCTTTTTACTGTATTCGGGAATTTGGAAGAAAAATCCACGTTCTGGTGACGTGTCGACATTTTCTGGGATTTCGTCCAAATCGTACAGGTGAGTTTGGTCTGTAAAAATAATAGTGCTGTCGAGATCTAATAATAAAGAGAGTTTTTGTTTATTTATGAGATTTTGCGTTGTAGCACGGATTTGTTGTTCTGCACATGACTTTGTCATGAAGACGTCTTTAGAGACTTGGACGTAATTATCAGTGTTAGTGACTTCTTCATAACAGTCGAGACAAAAACCTAACGAGTTGATTTGGTCATGGTTACACTTACAATTTTGGTTCATTTTTCTTTTTTGTTCGAAGTTAATTCTTTTTGAATACATTTCCATTTTTTATCTTTTTCACATTTTCGGTTGTTTGGTTCTTTTAACGACTTGGTATACTATTATCAAACCATATTTAAACTATTATTGGTGTATTATGGTAAAAAAGCCAAACAAATTATTGACATTTTTCCTTCTATTTTTTCATTTTTTTTTGTATTGCTATTAAAAAAAAAAGTTTGATGTTTTGTAAAAAAAGAACTTTAAAAAAATTAAAAAAACTTAAAATTTTGTTTTAATATTTTTACGCCTTTTTTTTTCTCTTTCTTGAAAAATATTCATCACTTTGTCAAGTAAATAATCACCTAAATATCCATATAGTATTTTTTAAGTTTTATTTAATAATTATTTAATTCAAATGGAATGGTTGTGTTTTATTACAACACAAAAAACACAAGTATTTAACTTGAAGTTCAAATACATCCCAAAAATGTTTAATAAAAAATTTCAATTTTTATTTATCCCCGAAAAATGACAAAATTTTAGAATTTTTTCTCCCATTTTTTAATTTAAATTGAAAATCTGTTCTTTTGAGCAATCATTTCTTTACTGGTTTTTCTTTTATTGCAATCTCAATAAAACTATGGTCGACTTTAATACCTTTGACCAACTTCTTTTCAACGAAGAGACTGGGCTCCTTTCCTCAATTTGTTCCAACTTGGTAACTACAATGAATATGCAAAGTCTTGGAAATGCACACACCATCATTCGTTACTTTGAGCTTAATAATAGAATCGATCAACTGTTTTCGTGGGCTTTTAAGCAAGAGTTTTTACTCAAGAGTTTGTGCTGAATAAATATAGTTATTTTATAATAAAGTATAGTA